TACAGGATACTGGCTACAGATAAAACTATAAGGAAGCTAGACTTTGTAACATGCAAGTCAGAGGTCTCTGGATATTTTGATAGATGAGAGCTCTCAGTAACAGTTTCATGTACAGAAGGTCCAACGGTTAGCTGCTGCAGGTTGCAAGCTGAAAAAAAACTAAGGAATTAGATTATATATAACACAAATTATCTCTTTTTACATGAAGAAATTTAGGAAAACTACTATTCATTCCCTGGGCTAACCTAAACTTTGTGAATTCACAAATCATAAGATTTTAGTGCCCATTTGTCATTTGTCACTTGACATTTGTCTCCTTTCCAGACATATACAGAGAGAAACCTGAGATAGCAGTCAATTAATGCTCGAGTTTTCTGAAAAACCTCCTTGCTGTAGAGGGATTTTATCCTCATTGTTTAAAATAAAATATTTTATGATAAACATTTTATTTTATTTTAAAATAAAATAAAATAAATTTATTTTAAAATAAATTATAAAATAATTTATTTTAAAATAAAATAAAATAAAGTGTTTCAAAAATGAGAGGCTAACATGCTTGAGAAAACATCCTTTTGAAAGAGATAGTAGGACTAATATCAACATTAAACCATGTTGTCTGGCTGGAATGTTAACTTTCCCTGCAGCAGCCCATACAGTGCTGTGTTCTGCACTTGTAGCTAGAAAAGCAGTGGTATCACACCAGTGTTGTGTCTACTGCTGAGCAGTGCTGGCACAGCATTGGGACTCTCTAACCCTCCTAGGGGATGGGCAAAAAGTGAGAAGAGAAACATCACCAGGGCAGCTGACCTAAACCAACCAAAGGGATATTCCATACCATATGATGTCACACTCAGCAATAAAAGGTGGAAACAGGAAGAAGAGGGGAGGGGTGGGCTCTCATTGTGAAAATATAGGTCCTCCTCCCAAACACCGGCTACGTGCGTTGAGGCCCTGCTTCAAGGATGTGGTCAATCATCACTCATTTGTGGGAAGTAGAGGGTAATTTATTTCCTCTGCACTTCCACATAGTCTTCACTTGTTTTATTTGTTTGTTTTCCTCCTTTTCCTTCCTTTCCCCCTCCCTTTTCCCCTTTCCTTTTTTTTTTTCCACTTTAGTTAAATTGTTTAGTTCATAATAATCTTTTATTATTATTATTATTATTATTATTATTATTATTATTATTATTATTATTATTATTATTATTATTATTATTATCCTTTAATTAAATTATCCTTATCTCAGCCCATGAGTTGTTCTTTGCTTTACTTCTCCCCCTCCTCATCTAAGGAGGGGGAGTGAGAGAGCGGTTGTGGTGTTTAGCTGCCCAGCATGGTAAAACCACCACACATGTACTCCTATTTGAAGTGAACTCCAAGCAAATAAATAAAGTAGAATAAGAAAATATATATATATTAAAGGACACAGAGGTGAACTGGAGGTGAAAGCTGTGAATTTCAAACTACTACATTTTTTAACACTCACACGATATTTCCAAAATGTCATTCTGCTTCAAGACCTTTGATCCTGACTCTGATCAACTAAGTGTTGTTTTGATGTCAAGAGATTTAATTTGGATACCATCACTGCTGAATACATAGAGTTCTTGGGAAAACTGAAGCCTATATGTCATACAAGATTCAGGTCAACTTGATAGGAAGTAGTATAGCCCACTTTCAAGCCAGAGAAGTCAGGGAGGTTGTTCTAAAATTGATGCAAAGACTGCCATGAAAAGGGAACTTAGGAAAATTGTTCTAAAAATCAAAGAATATACAATGCTCCTTTTCAGTTTAGAGTATAATAACCTCAACACTAGCATTAAAAGATTTTAGCAAAAGTCCTAGCTCTTCAGCTTGGAATATTGTTAATGCATTGAAATTTATTTTTCCAAGATAAAAGAAAAGAAAGTAGGCTTTCTTCAGATAACAGTAAAATCAAGTATTTTATATTGAATCAAGGGAATTTTTTTTCCAGATCTTCTTGCTTTGAAACCAGATTTATAAAATTCTGTAATTAGGCCAGTGCAAAAAGGGTATTGTACATTTATTTCAGTGAGCATTTCTAGGATTGTAAAAAGACATTTTCATTAGAATTTTTACTTATTTGATTGAATCATAGAATCATTAAGATTGGAAAAGACCTTCAAGATCATCTGGTCCAACCATCACCCTACTACCAATGTCACCTACTAAACCATGCCCTAAGCACTAGGTCAAACTTTTCCTTGAACACTCCCAGGGACAGTGATACTATCACTTCCCTGGGCAACCTGTTCCAATGCCTGACTATTCTTTCTAAGAAATGTCTCCGAATTTCCAACCTAAACCTCCCCTAGTGCAACTTGAGGCTATTCCCTCTAGTCCCATCACTAGCTACCTGTGAGAAGAGGTCAACCCCCAGCTCCCCACAACTTCCCTCTTTTCGGGTAGCCATAAAGAGCAATAAAGTCTCCACTGAGCCTCCTCTTCTCCAGACTAGTGGTTCATGTTCAGTACTGCCGGCTCATGTTCAGGTGAGCATCAATCAGCACTCTCAGAACCTTTTCCTCTGCACAGCTTTTGCAACACTGCCCCAAACCTGTAGCACTGCATGGGATTGTTATGGCCAAAGTGCAGGACCCAGCACTTAGCCATGTTGAACCTCATCCCATTGGCCTCTGCCCATCAACTCATCTTGTCCAGGTCCCTCTGAAGGACCTTCCTACCATCTGGCAGATCAACATCTCCCCCCAGCTTGGTGTCATCTGCAAACTTACTGAGGGTACACTCAATTCCCTTGTCCAAATCTTCAGTAAAGATATTAAAGAGGATGGGCCCCAACACCGACCCCTGGGGAACACCACTTGTGACTGGTCACTTTCTCTATACTAAAAAAAAAAAAAAAAAAAAAAAGAATTTTCATCAATAATATTTTTAGTATTATTTTATTTCTTCATTTAGTTCTTTGATAATCAAAGGCTGAAAAAAAGGTTTTCATTGCTTAATATTCTACCAGTCATATTTATACTAGATATTGATTATTTATTGATTTAAATATGGAAGATCAAAACATCGCTTAAGAAAAACAAGACTTTAAGTAAGTATTTTCATTTCATAATCTCTTAGAGGAACTATACTTACTTAAATTTAATATAGTTACAAATCTAAGTATCAAGCCTGAGAAGCCAAAGAGTTTCTTTATTCTGTATCCTGAGAGCGAAAGATTTGCCACATTTTTTTTTTTAACATGGTAATTATTACTTACTTTCTTACTGTGCTATTTTGATACTTAATTCTACTCTCTAGCTGTTAAACATTATTCAAAAGAACTTGAACACGTGGTATTCCTTGCTTATCCTTCAAAACCTTCAAGAGGAAGGTATGATTTACTGTGCAGAGTGGAAATTCAGGATTTCACTCTGCTGATTTAGAAATAATAAATGCCTTTGTGGAACTCACCCATTTGCCTCACTACTCTCCATAGCTCCTGAAAGGTCACCCTGCCCCAGGCAGCTCAGAGCTGAAACATAGAGACAACTACATAAAATGTTCCCTCTGGCCATGGCACACGAAGTTCTTCCCTCATCGGATCCAGACCCGTACCAGAAGCCAGTTCCCAAATGCCTTCAGATTCAAGAGGAGAATAGGGGGAGTGCTTTTATTCACCAAAAGATTAAATGGGTTGGATAAGGAGTAAAGGGACAGATTTGGGGCACAGTAATGGTAATGTTTAGAGCAGAGAATAATCATGCGACTAAATATTAAACAGAAAATGAATGATTTCATTTTCTATAATGCAATATATATATTAAACGGGTTCAGTCTCAATACCATTGTGTGTACGACCAATTGTGCCCAATGATGTTTTATATAGACTGTTTTATAGACTCATTTTTTTTATAGACAGACTTCCAAAAAAAGTTGTACTATTTGTCATAGGCAGTAAACACATGTAACGAAGATACTATTCTTATGAACTGTAACTAATATCTGCAGAACCAACCAAGTAAGTACATGATTTTAATTTATTTATTTATTTGTGTATTTAAAGAAAACACAAATAATAATTGTTTTCATGAAGACCTTTTTTAATATTTCATGAAAGGGTTGGTGGATGCTTGTGCCAGGTCTTTCAAAAGTTACAGCTATGTCATACTCTCAGCAGGCACTCGCAATATATTCCCTCTTTATCTGCAATTTGTCTCAAATGAAGAACCCTAACAGCACTGTTTATTTATTTATTTATTTTTAATGAATGTGGAATACAGTGCAACAACATTTTATTTTCTCACAATTTTGATTTATTGATTTTTCCCAATATCAAGCATACAGTCTGTAAGTGGAGAATAAAGATACAGAAACAGAGAGAAAGAAAAAAGTTGTACATTTGGAGAAATACTCATTTCAACACGTCTTAAGTTTCAGTTTCAATCTTCCTGAAAGTTTGAATGTTGGGCACTCAGAAGAAACAAAACAGATGGATGTTTATGTATTTTGGCAACCATCAGAACTTGAAAAATGCTTAGAAATGTTTTTAAGTGAAATAACGAAATTAATATAGGATTCTTGTTAATTTTTATCTTTTTATACCTTTCTACAACAATATGGCTAGAAAAACTTGATATTCATATATGAACAAAGGTGGCCACTTCCCCTCAGAATTCACTTTTATTTCTCTATCCTAATTATAACAATTAATGACCTTAGCATTATTATTTATTATATTATATATTACTATTGTATAATTGTAGCATATAATGACCTTAGCCAAATGAAAAAATCAACTTTATTTTAATAATTTTAGCAGATGAGGCTAAATTAGAGTTGATAGAATTTATTCTATAAACTTTGAACCCTGGAATTTCACCCTTGCTTTATTTATTATTATTATTATTACATATATATATATATAACATATTATATGTTATATATAGCATATATATGTTATATATATATATATATAACATATAATAATATGTTATATATATTATATATAATGTAAATTGTAATGTATACATTAGATATATATATATTATTATTAATATATATGGGAAGACTGCTTAACTTTCTGAGGTGTACATTCTCTCAGCTTGCTGTCCAGGAGTTAGTTGAAATATGAATCTGTACCCTATATAAAGTCTCTCTACTAATTGTTAATAATAATAAAGATTATTTCCTATCTTTTTCTTGATATCAGTTCCCATAATATAGTTATGTTCAAGGAAAGTGCTCATACACTAAAAAATACAGAAAAAGATATCATACTTCCCCTTGTAATGAGCTCCAATAATCCTTGTCTGGACACCTCCTCACTGTGCTGTGATTTGATATCCAGATGATGATGTGCCCACTCCAGTTTAAAATCACAACATCTCTTTTTCTTACACTCACATACTCACTCTCTGTCTTTCTTACAAACATATTAGAGTGAACACACACAGCTTTTAAAGGTGACAATTCTTCTTCCCAGCATACAAAATTTGCACTAACTGTTTTTGATTTGATGCTCTATTACAGCTAGAACCCCAAATTCTGTAAGAATCTAATTTCTGGACAAGATTATGAATTAATCTATGTAATGAAATTTATCCTTCTTAAATTCAGTGCTTAGTATTTTGCATATTTTCTTTTAAGGCAATGAATTTTCTGAATGCAAATCAGAATATTTTAATCAATCATATGTTGTAAGGAAAAAAAAAAAAAAGAAAGTGACAAATCCAGTCTCAATATTTTCAGAAGGCAGAATGTTCAAAACCCATAGTGAAAATTTTCCAAATATTAAAATATTCTCAAAAATTTACAGCACTTCTGTGCTCTGAATAAACATTTTATTTTCTATTCCAAATATCTTTAGCTCCTCTCTGGCGACTAGGAAAAAAAATCATGGCAACTGGGATAAAGTTTTATTTTGAAGTCAAAGACATGAAATAAACACTTTGAATACAATTGTTTACCAGTTTTCAAAAGTAAAAAGGCATCTCATATGTACTTTGCTTTGGAAAATTGGGCCAAGGATCATATTTCAGAGATCCAATAGCTTATGATTCTATTCCTGATGTTCTATGTTCTATGCCTAATTGGACTGAGTTACATTAGCATAAGCATGGTGCTTCATGATTAATGTATAAGTCACAGCACGGAGCCCTGAAGAATTTCATCCACAGTTCCTTCTCCCCACCCCTACTAATGCAAATAACCAGTGTGCCTAAATGGCAGTCCATTACATTTGTAAATATGACTATGCATCAAAAGTCAAAGTGTATAAACTTTGGTATAGAGTCTAACTGTCTTACAAACCATTTTTATCTTCAAATTATAATAACAATAAAATGTTAGATCTTACAAAGCCCCTGGTATTTATACTTCCTGTGATTCACTGCAGATTTTTTATTGTTCTTCTGCTTGATTTGTTTTCTTTGTTTTCATGTTAAAATTGAGCATTAAATCTATGACTTTATTCTCAAAATTGAAGCAGCTTACATTAAAAAATGAAGACTTTGTTAAATTAATAACCTAAAAATTACTTTTGCTCTATTACTCTTGGGTTAATGTTAACCTAGAGTGAACAAAAACTTGCTGTTCAAAAAGAGCAACATGTTTATAATTCAATAACACATCCGCTCACAGCCAAATAAGAAAACTCCTGAAAATGTTAGCAAATGTTTGATGAATAACAGCCAGAGGATGCCACAGCAATGGTGCCAGAAAAAACTAAGTCCAATCTTTGACTGTTAAACAGTACAGACATCTTGAGAGACTACAAGCTGATACATGTTCCTTTTACTGCAATTCCTTGCAGTAACATGATGACTGATCTTATGGGATCTTCCAGTCAAGCTTAATTTATTTTAGTCACAAAGACAAAAATTCTACTGCTATTATTTAAAGACTTCTTCCTAATGCCACACAGAGCACACACTTACTGGTTTATTTTGATATATTAACATTATCATTATCTCGGCCTAGCAGAGAAAGCTATCAAAAAATATTATTAGCAACATCTCAATATTTATGGGGTTAAATCCATGACAGATTTTCTTTGCTCTTTTCAATTCTTTGCTCTTAAAGTTAAATCCCTTTTTAACAAACATTATCCGAAGATTCTATAAGTAACATTGAAAGTCTGTTTTATTTTATTTTTTCTAATCAGTAAGGCATAAAAACATATGACAAAGGTTACATTGTAATACATCTTCAGATTATACAATAAAGTAGATCTCAATCTTGATAACACTGATGTCTAGCAAACACTGACTGAACTGACTTTGCCATGCATTATAACAATAGAAGAGGCAGCCTACATTTTTCCACTTTGAGTTTTGAGATAAAATTTCCCACAGCATGTAATGGGACATTAATGGCAAAACTGATAGGGTTGTGACATCAGGCAAATGTGAAAAATTAATGTGTAATTACCTGGGTATTATGTTTTAGTTTTCCCATATTCACTGACAGTTTATTGTTTTAGTATCTACATTAAGTTAAAGTTACACCATTTTAAGGGTGATGTTAGAGATTTCACTTTTACAACAAACTTCTAAGTAAATGGGAAATTCGATCCCAACAACAGGTTCAAATGACACATTTTTTTTCCGTAAGATCACTGAAAGTAATCTCTAGAATGATTTCTACTCCCTTTGTTATAGGAGTCCATTTTTCTCAAGTCTCTATAGAGAATGCAGTCAAAAACATAGTATATTCACAGGAATTATTATGTGACACATAATAAGAAAAGATTACAGAAAATATTAAGACATTTTAAAGCCATTTGATACAGATCAATCAATATAAATATATTCAGTACCTATGTCAGGATTCAGTATAGAAAACATAAAGAGATAAATGTTTCAAGTTTATTTGTAAAACATGTTCACACTTGACACTCAGAAATGTTTCAGCAGCAAACAAAATCTTACCTATTTTCCTATTATTACTTTAAAAATAAATAATAGTAGAATTTGAAGCATGGGTGGGTTATCTGTCAATCTATTCCCCTAATTTCAATAATATACACCAGAAATACTTGGAACTGTAAGTAGCTTTCCAGAATTATATACATCTCTAACAACATGGCAACCTATGTATTAGAAAATAAAAAGAACCAAGTAACTGAAGGCCCTTGTATTAGATATGTGTTCTCATATGATTTTTAAATGATTTTCTCAGTAGAAAAAAATGTTATTACGCCCTTAAGTCAGGTTTATAGAAGCTTCAACTATGTTGATTTTGAGAATGTAGATACTTTGATATTTTGTAGTATATTTGAAATATATCATAATTTTCTGCTGTTGGCTCACCACAGGTTCTCAGTTGTTTCTCTTACTGCCTCAACAGGATTTTTTCTACTACTGCTTGGCCAGCTATGCAGCCAGGGTCCATGAATCTCATGTGTCTCCTTTTGTCAGTTTAGTATGGTACTGGGGCTAAATTAAACAAACATCGGTCACTCTACTATATACCATATACTATATATCACATCTAAAAATATGTACAAATAAAATATTCTTTTGCAGCCAGAGGAAGAGAACTGTTCATAAAATTGAATCCTGGGAATTAGTCATGTTCACACAGACACTAAGTTTCAGTTAAAATTATCTGAACAGATAATTCACCACTAAGAAGTAGTAGAGAATAGCTTCCTTATCCACACACCTGCTCAAATTAGTTAGGGAGCAATTAAACTGCATTCAGCAGTGCTTAGACAGGAATCTGTCAAGGAATTACTATAATTCTATCCAAGATGTTCTTTAAAAAATAAATAAGTGATCGAAATGTAATACTTTCTTCCAAGGAACCTAACTCAGGGATTTACATCTAGCCAGAGTTTTTCCTTATGTGTCTCATACATCTCCTATGTAAGCTAACTGGTGATTGTATTTATACCTCACAGCGATTAAAGAAAGCAACTCAAAGAAAAGTTGATGTAACCTACAAGTGGGCATACTGTACAGAGTTCTTTTTTCTCGCTGGCTGTGGACCACAGGGCCTTAAAATTATGCCTGGGCAAGTTTAGATTTATTGTAAACCTAATGTGCCATTGTTGGAACCTATATGACTTCACTCAAATTAAATTGAAGTGGATGTTTTCTTCATGTATCCTTCTTTTCTTCATTTCAGATGGCTATATTTTACTGGATAGGGTCATGAGCTAACATATCATGTCAAACAACTGTAATACAGATTTTTATTGCTTTTCAAGTTTGTTAACCTTCTAATTGGAAAAACTAGGGAAAATGAAACTATTTTGTTTACTCCACCAACGTTTTCATCCTGTACTCTATTAAAGTTCTAAATGTGTCACTGCACCCATGCACATTTTATGTTTCTGACAAAGAAACTCTAGGCTCTTTCAGGAAAAATAAATAAATATAAAATTAAATAAATAAAAAGCATTGTCTTATGCACTTGTCTGATATTCCAGAAAAATAAATTAATAAATATATAATATTAAAATAAAATAAAATAAAATAAAATAAAATAAAATAAAATAAAATAATAAAAATTTTCCATTATGAGTGGAAATATTCTGGTGACCTTTTGGCTGCCTTCTGTCTTCTTTTCCATGACAGTCTTTACGGCCAGTAAGAAACAAAACGTTCCCCTAGAATATGAAGCAAATAGAAGCATCAGGAAAAAACATATAATACAAGAAAGATTTTTTAGATGAATGGTATTTTTTTTATGAAACTGAAATTCCTAGGAATTCTTGGGGATTCCATTCTTCCTCTCAATTCCTTGAACAACCCCATTTCACATCCACCCTAACCCTCCCCCATGAAACCCCACAAAAAAAATAGAAATATAAGTATTATGCAAACTGTGCTCTGCTTTAAGCCCCACTAGCTGTCTGCAATTGTTTGATTTAGTAACTACTGAGTCTACCAGAAGCAGAAACAAACACATAGCTCGTTTCTCACTTTCCCAAAATTTCTCTACTTTCCAGATACATCCAAAAGACATAGGTAGATGTTGTATATGTGTCACTATAAAACTGCACAATGTATAGTTCACTTTCCCATGCTAGTTACCAGGTTTAAATCAATCCAAACAGCTATATTCATGTTATTTCATCACATATTAAATATTCATCGTCAGTATTTTCAGCACAAAGCAGGTTGTCATGTTTACTTATTTATGTCTGTATTCTCTTCTACACGACTGTCTGATTGATAGGCACTGAAAAAGCCTATGTCTTTTGAATACACATAGGATTTATTCCTGAGACAGGTGATATTTCTTCTCCATTTGAATATACCTGTTGTCAGCAGTCAGGATTTCACAGGAAGAGATAATCCCAAAGATAGCTTAGACCAGACCACAGAGCGGTCTGAAGATGCAGTTCTAATTCCTGAAAGATCTCAGTGAGCCTTTGAATTGAGTAGAAATGTGATTGCAGGCTTTGATTGTTAAGACAGACAGTTCTGCTTGGAACAAACTGTATTACATAATGAACAGTGCTTCATGCCTACACAGAGACAGCTAAAGCAAGATACCTAACAAACAAATAATTAGCAAAACAATTATATAAAACAAATTGTATTCAAAACAATTGTATTATAACACCTAAACACAAACTTAGTGAAAGAGGACAATCTTCTCACCTAATAATCATAAAGAAGATTTCCATGCACAGCCATGTTTCATGGTATCCAGAATAGCAAGGACTGCAAGGCAATCTGATGCTGAGATTTTGGAGACAATACTTAAGGAAATTGTCCAGTTAGGAAGAAGGAAAATACTTCAAAATCCATCCTAGAAGTTTCATTCTTTTAAAAGAAACACTTAGGAATGCAAAGAACAGTGCGTATTAATAATTATTTATATGACTTTATAGCTGAAAATTAATCTTTATAGAAGTAATCTATGTACACCATGAAGTAAGTTGAAATTTATTAAGGAGTAAATTATTAAAAAATATATTTTTGTATTAATATGACTACCCTTTGTTTTATATAGTTATATTACTGGTTTAAGAACTGACAGTTTTTAGTGATGAAAGATTAAGACAGTCTTTTGAGTTTGCTTTTGTAACAGTAAACTTTGGAGGATTGTTAAGATGGTAGCAAAGCTCTTTTAAACCTCAGAGTTCTTGGTCACATCTTACCTTTTCTAGTTTCTTGGCATTAGAATGGGTTCTTCTTTTCTGCACTCTACTTATGCTTAAGCACCTTTGCATGGGAAAGGAATGCAAGAATAGGTTAACAATAGTTTTGAAGTAAATATGTTTACGGGTAAAAATAAAAAACAATAAAAATGTAAAACGATTCTAGCTCAAAAAATGTTTCAGCAACATCAGTATAAATTAAGCATGAGTTTCATCTCATTACTGTGAAGGTAGCTGAAGCATTCTAAGTTAGAGGACATGATACAATGGATGTTGCCATGTAATGCTCTGAAGTTCATGTACAGTAAAACATGCAACATGAGGAATGAAAGCAGTGTGTTAGACCTGCGTGCAGTTGCAGGGCTGCAATCTTGTTGGGATCATGGAGACATGGTGGGATGGCTCCCATGACAGGAGTGTTGTCATGGGGAGATACAAGTTCTTTAGAAAAGACAAACAGAGGGGGAGTTGCCCCTTATGTGAGAACTGCTGGGATATATGGAGCTCTGCCTGGGGATGGGTGATGAGCCAGCTGAGAGCTTATGTATGAGGGCTAAAGAGAACACATGTAAGGGTGATATTGTAGTGGGTATCTTCTGCAGATCACCTGACCAGGAAGAACAAACAGGCAAGAAGGCCATCTACACACAGATAGGAGTATGTTCACAGGCCCTGATCTTCACAGGGAACTTCAACTAACCTCCTATCTGCTGGCTGGATAACACAACAAGGCATAAGCAATGCTTATGTTGAGGTTCCTGGAGTGTGTCAATGACAAATTCATCACTCAAATGGTAGAGGAGCCACTGAGGAGAGGTGTTTTGCTGAATCTCATGCTCACCAACGAGACATTCATTGAGGATGTGAAAGTAAAAGGAAACCTTGGCTGAAGTGCCCATGGGGTGGTGGAGTTCAGGATCCTGAGGGGAGGAATGAGTCTAAAAAGCAAGCTCAAAACACCGGATTTCAGGAAGTAAGATTTTAACATCTTCATGTATCTGCTTGGAAGAGTTTTAGTTGATAAGGCCCTGGAGGAAAGAGAGACCTAAAAATGATGGTTAAGATTTAAGGATCACCACATCTAAACGCAAGAGAGGTCCATCCTGATGAATATAAAGTCAAGAAATACTAGGGAAAATGTGGAGAAAAAAATATGGCAGAAGAGGACTTGGGGGTCCTGGTGGGTGCCAAGTTGAACATGAGCCAACAATGAGTCCTCTCAACAAATAAGGTTGATAGTATCAAGGGCTGCATTAGGAATAAAGTTGCTGGCAGGTCAAGGGAGGTGATCCTTCTCCTGTGCTCAGCACTGGTGAGACCACATGTGGAGTATTGCATCCAGTTCTGTGATCCTATAAGAGAGAGATGGAGCTACTGGAGAAAATCCACTGAGGGTCACTAAAATAATTAAGGGTCTAGAGCACCTCATATGAGGAAAGGTTGAGAGATCTGGCACTGGTTACCCTGGAGAAGAGAAGGTTTAGGGGTGAAATGTACAAAATACCTGAATGGAGGGTGCAAAAAGGAGAGAACCAGGCTCCTTTCTGTGGTGTCCAGTGACAGCTCAAGAGGCAAAGGGCACAAACTGGAACACAGGAAGGTTCTGTCTGAACATCAAGAAACACTTTTTTACTGTGCAGGTGACTGAGCCCTGGCACAGGTGCCTGGAGAGGCTGAGGAGTCTCCCTCCTTGGAGATCTTCAAAAGGTGCCTAGACATCATCCTTGGCAATGGGACCATGCTTGATCAAGGGAGGGGGACAAAGTGACCTCCAGAGATCCCTTCCAACCTCAAACAACCTGTGAACACAGGGAATATGCCACACTTTATTTCTTTCTGCAAAGCATACACAGATCAGTGATAAACCTTACACAAGAATGTACAACTTAACTGAAGTGAACGGGCTAAATCAATTTTCTTTGGCCCTGAATCACTGAAGAGTTAAATTATGTGCACTTCACTTCTGAACTCAAATTTCTTTCAGTCAAATAGAAAGACTGTATGTGTGAAAAACACTTAAATTATGTATTTGAATCAATGTTAAGATTTAATGATGTAAATGTTAAGTGCAAAATTATGCATGGTAAAAGAATAGTGTCAATGAATTGAAATGATCATTTGTTATAGCATAGTCAACAACCAGTGCATTTGAACCTTATGAGTCTTATAATATTCCAATTATACCTTAAAAAGGCCATCTGAAACTGAGAGGACAAGCTGACTTTTCTGAGGACATAATGTAAAATTCATATGAAATGATTCATATGAAACTAGCCCTCAGACTTTACTGCAATTAGTATTTTAATGCTAGGAATGAATGAGCTGGTTGCGTTCGCCATCCCTGAGAATGTTAGGGTTACTCAAATATTTCTATATTCTGCACCAAACAGCTTTCTATTTAATGTTATCATAAAGAGCTCATGTGTATCAGAAACTGGAATAACTTGTTCTATACATAATGTGTGAGTATGGAACATATTACAGGAATAAACTTGTCAATGTGAAAAATATAATTATTCCCATCTCCTAAATCTGAAATGGCCAGTATTAGGTATTTGGTGGAGTAGAATTATCAGAGGCAAGACTGGTTCTGTAGTGTACCCAGAAGTATACTTTCCAGCTTCTACTATAACACCTAATCACTTATAAAACTTTCTGAAATGTTGTCATTCACAATATTTTGTACTAATGATTTCTGTGTTTTAGACAAGCATTTCATGAAAAGTACCTTTAGTTTGCATTGGGCTAGAGCCTGATCATTCTATCTAATGTCTGTAGCTGTTGCAATTAAGAGAAAGACTGAGTAATCTAATGCAACTCCAATCTCTGGCTAAAGATCAAAGACTCATTAAAACATAGATTACTTGATTACTTCAGGGAGGAGCAAAATACCTCTTGCCTTTTTTTTTTTTTTTTTTTTTTTGAGGAACATACAACACTCTTGAAGGCCATTCAATAGATCAAGTTTGTTGATCTTGTGTTTAATTACTTGGTAAGGAAAGCCAAGGACAGAAGCATCTGAGCACATCCGTGTGCATGAGTTTTAATTGTGTCATATGGCTAGGTTCTTCCTTATAAACAAAGAGAGAAAAATATGTTCTAAAGTTGAAGAACTCTCGACTATTTACTGAGTTCCTGACTTTAAAAACAAAAAGAGAACTGAGCGTCTCTGCGTCTCTTTACAAAGATGGCTTTGAGGACTTCTAGAATCTGTTTTCCAAGACTGAGACTACTTCTCAAAAAGCCTACTACTTCCAGTAAATAAGAGGGAAAATTTTTTTTTTATGGTATTAATTAGCCTATAGTATGGAGGCTACTAACAGGAAATTAATGTAACCAGCTCTTCCGTGTTGCAAAAGAATGGGAGAATGGGCTAAAGTAGAACTACTGTTTGTAAATAGACAGTGATACTGTGTGATGTTTTGCAAAGATTAAATATGATCTGGAAATAAAACTCTAGGCTAGATGGTACAATTAAATAAATCAAGTCAGTCTGTTACCATAATCCTGACATAACTCACGTACTATGCAACAAACAGTTGCAGGGTTATTAGTTGCAGAGTAGTTATTTCACAGAATCACAGAATCACAGAATCTCTAGGTTGGAAGAGACCTCAAGATCATCGAGTCCAACCTCTGACCTAACACTAACAGTCCCCACTAAACCATATCCCTAAGTTCTACATCTAAACGTCTTTTGAAGACTTCCAGGGATGGTGACTCAACCACCTCCCTGGGCAGCCTGTTCCAATGTCTAACAACCCTTTCAGTAAAGAAATTCTTCCTAACATCTAACCTAAAACTCCCCTGGCGCAACTTTAGCCCATTCCCCCTCGTCCTGTCACCAGGCACATGGGAGAACAGGCCAACCCCCATCTCGCTAGAGCCTCCTTTAATATACTTATACAGAGTGATAAGGTCACCCCTGAGCCTCCTTTTCTCTAGGCTGAACAAGCCCAGCTCCTTCAGCCGCTCCTCATAGGACTTGCTCTCCAGGCCCCTCACCAGCTTCGTCGCCCTTCTCTGGACCCGCTCAAGCACCTCGATGTCCTTCTTGTAGCAAGGGGCCCAGAACTGAACACAGTACTCGAGGTGCGGCCTCACCAGAGCCGAGTACAGGGGGACGATCACCTCCCCAGCCCTGCTGGTCACAGCACATTTGTTAATATTCTCTTTTTAACGGGGTTACTAACAAAGAAATTCACTAAAGGTGTTGCTAGTTGATTTTTAAAGATTGTCAAAATAAATGCATTGAAGTTTTAGAAAGCTTCTGTCCAAACTTTTCATAATGAAAAATTTTCCATGTTAAAATTTGATTTCTGCCACAGAAGTTCACATTTGTTTTAGTGAATTCTGAATAAAATATTTTATTTTGGGACAATTAAATTTGACTTGACATTTTGATTTGTAAAAATTAAATTTAAAAAGTTTCAGGTTTTCTATATTTGTTTGGGCCTGCTTTAGCAGGCTTATAGGCAGAGGCTTCGAGTTGTTTTAGTTTGTATGGCTCATAGTTCTCATTTATTGGGATCAATCACTGACTCATCTTTATCTCCCATAAGATTCTTTGTTTTCCCCTCTAGTTGAATGCATAACTAAAACACCTAGAGTAGACTATACTGTGACAGAGTTAGCTTACCCAGCATAATAGTGTGTGTGTAGTTATAATAAATTCTTATGTTATTCAGATTTGTACCAAACTGAGAGGATAGCAAGTATCCAAAAGCCAGCTGATGAATAAAATAGAAACATTATAATAATATAATTCATATCCATGAACTTTCCCACTATTGATATGGCATTACTGTTTTTATACATCCTCTCTCTCTTTACTGGATTTTTTTTTAAAGCTTTTTCCCAGATAATGACACCTCTGATGGAACCATGACAGTCACTGAGACAAAGCAGCTGAACAGCCAGAAACACCAATTAAATAGCTGTTACTGCTACACACATCAGTTTACATGCATGCACCCTTCTGTACAGTATATGTAGTTCGTTGGCCCACAAGTAATTTGATTGCAATATGTTAACAAATATGGATATAAAAAGTAATCTTAGTATGTTAATAAGAGGACTGTCTTATAAACTTCCAATGCAGGAAGAAAGTTTGTTACTTAGTTTGTTCTAATTCAAGCTGAAAGGAAGATTTGAAATAATTATTTCCTTGGGGAAAAAAAAGACTCTGTATCACAATACCTATAGGATATCTATTTTATTTAAGGAAGATGAAAAACTTCATAGATCAGTTGTCCTTAATTATGAAAAATCCCCTAAAGGTTCAGTTTCTAGGAAGGTAGGATTTTTGCAGTTCTTGCACAATTGAGTAAGCAAATTTGCAGTAGTGTAGGAAGTTTTGTATAAGATGAAGCAAAGACATGAAGAAAAAAAATAAAGGGAGAAAGGAGGAGAAGCAGGGACGTTTCTCCAATTTATCTACTTCAGGCTGACCAGGGATTTAAAAGCAGATTTCTGACATCACTGAAAATTGACAGGTTTTAGGCAGGATTATACCTTGGTTTCTCCTCTGCTTTATATTTGGTCCCTATACCAAATATAATATAGTGCACCCTTCAGGACTAGGATCAGATTGTTCAGGTGTAAGAGCATTAAGAACACTTCATTTGAGAAAAATACTTGGGCTTTAGGCAGTTCTACAAGCCTAGCATCCAGGTGAGCTTCCACTGCCAGCAGTCCCAGGCATCACTTGACTGTTCGAAGATGACAGGACTGTCTTAGTAATGGAGGTGCCCATATAATGTCATACAAGAAGCATATAAAAGAGTTATCTTTTCTAAAACTCGGATTAACATCTTAACAGGCTTTCTACTTGTGGTTCTTTACCTGCTTTTTTATTATTTTATTTTTTTTTTTAATAGATAGATTTTTGGTCACTGCATTAAAAGAAATGTTGTGGCAATATCCTAGGAGAACATCATCAACAACAAAGATGTAAAATCTGTATTCAGTGCAAGAGAAAGAGGGACCACAGACCACACAGATGTAGAGAATGATAGCCAGAGTGGAGAGAAGGGATGCTATAATAACAAACATAATTATATTCTATAAAACCCTGCCAAGAAACAGCTCTGAAAATGGGGGATACTTGAATTATCCCCCCAAACAAGTGAAGTACAAAGTACTATAACAGTGTTTGAGAGTCAAACACAGAAATGTTTAACAGGAAAGGCCATTATATACTTGTGGAAGTTGAAATGGCCAAAAAATAGCTATCTTAACATTACATTAAATAACATAGAAAGAAATTTCTTACCCTTCACTCACACTCAGCAAATATTGCTCCTAATAAAGGAGAGAGAGACATGGAAAAGGCAAACATGTCAAGTCTGCATAATTGTAACGTTTCCCAGATCCAGCAGGAAGAGAGAGAAAGGGCAAGGATTTTTGATAAGTTTTACTACTGTTAAATCTGTTCTTCAGTACCAGTACTTAGATGATTGTAATTTAGTGATTTGGTCACCATCAGCTATGAGGATTTCACTGAGCTTGATAATTGGATATTTCTATACATTTTGAGTGCTGCACCAAAGCCAGCCCTCCAGCCTTCGTTCAGTGAGCCTTCATGTACTGCCCTGGGTCCTGTGCTTATGAGCCATATGTGCCTTTGTTTTGCATGGTGACTTAATCTGTAAGGTGCCCCTGAGACATTCATGTGGTTATTTGGCAGCTTGATTATGAAGTAGATCATGGCCAGCTATTTTCAATGCTTGTATCAATTGTGAAGCAGAAATAAACATAGTGATTACAAAAGACAAATATTTGTTTTATTGCCCAAGTGAAGGTGAAATTGGGGACAATAGCGGACTAGCTTTTCACATTTGGAAGCTCTAACAGAGACTTAAGCATTTGTGTGTCCATTTGTAAAAATTGTCTTGGCTATTTGTGCCACAGCCCTGTAGCTGCCAGAGTCTGCATGCTCTTTATGCTTGGAAGAGTGCCAACTTGCCTATATATGCTAGATAATCAAAGGCAGTGAACATATTTATGGTAATGGCCAGGGAAAAGGTGTTTTCTTTTATTTGCTGTTAATATTGAAAAGCAACAAGAAATGAAATACATACACTGCCACAAACATGAGAAGGATGGTACCCTGGGAATATTATTCAGCAGCAAGCAAAAATTGTTACCAGTCTCATGCTTCTAATATTATGTGCTAATTTTCAAAGTAATGTCTTTCTCCTACCCCCCCCCCTGTAATATTATATCTTATAATAATCTATTATTTAATCTTACAATTATATTGAAACTTCCTCAATTAAAATGTCTTACTTCCACAATTAAGTCCCTGATATGACCCTTACAGTTCTGTTTTCATTATGGCATGCAAAAAGATGAGGAATTTATTTAAGATTCTGTTAGAGCTCCCTCTATATGACTGCATTTGGATTTCTTCTCAGTCCATTAGTATTGATAGATGTATTAATAATTGTTGTTTCCCTCATGACATATTTCAGTCTCTATCTGGTCCATTTGCATTAGTCTCTTGGATTTCTTCTGGCCAGCAGGAAAAAAAAAAAAAAAAAAAAAAAAAAGTATTGAATTTCGTATTTGATTTGAATGTATATAGTACCATAGTATATAGCACATCTAAATTCTAAACATAAGCCAGCAAGATAGTTTCAAATGTGTCATGAATTAATTATGAACTGGGTAATATCTATCACAGAACATCTTCTGACCTAGAGCACTGAACATACCTTGAGTGGCTTCAGACTCTTAGCCACAGTTAAATAAAATTACCAGACTGTGAGTAAAAATGGAAAAGCAAACACAGTTGTATTTTAACCTAGGTCTCGAAGCACTTCTCACTTTATGTGCTTTGTACCCCTTTGTCTTCTTTGCTGTTGACACCAAACTTTCTTTCCTTTCTGAATAACTTATTTGCCTACTACCTGTACTGCTACTTCTACCAAAGACCTGGAAAAATATTTACTGAAAGTGTATGTGTACACTCTTCTATAACCCAGCTGAATGCTTATTTTAATCACTTCACAACATGAAATAGTCCCTGAACAAAAAAGTTTCTAAGTATATACATATATATATATATAGCAAAAAAAGTGTATACATATATATATATATATATGTATATACTTAGAAACTTTTTTGTTATATATATATATATATATATATATATATATATATATATATGGCCAGATAATAAAGCAGTAAGGAGGAAATATATGAGAAAAAAAATAAATAAATTAAAAAATCACACAAGATTTATAAACAGATCTATGCTCATTTTACATTTTCAAGAAATTTAAGTTTCTTTCTCCCCAAAGGTCACATAACAACTCTTTCACACTGAGAGATATTATTAGTAGTGGTATTACTAACAGTAAACACAATAACTGAAATTATTATTAAAATCTCTGCAATAAGTCGACTAGATATTATGAAATGAATTTAATGAAATTATTATCTGGCTTAAATATAAAACTGCTTTAAAAGCATGTAAGGATTGAGGCATATGAAGTTTGCAAACAGAAGACATAGAAAAAAAAAAATAAGGACATACCATAGAAAATTTTTACTAATAGAAGTAAATCACTCAGAAGCAAAAACAAATGCATTATCTCCTCTCCACAATGATGCACTAAACAACTTGTGAAATAAATGTTTCAGAGGGAATAGCTCTGAGCAGATTCAACGTAGCTTTGCTTAATTCTGACAAGAGACAAGACACCTTGAAAAGTTAGGTACCACTAAACTTTCACAAGCTACATTCATAACTCCCTTAGAAATCCTTACCTAAATACATATCTTTGAATATTGTATACTATAAAACATTCATGAACAATCTATGCACAGCTGTATTGCTTAATTGTGATTTATCATTGGTATTATTCTCAAGTTTTGAAATCGGGCAAGCGTACAGATCACCAGTAATATATAATAATGATGACGATGATAATAAAAATCCTGGTTAATTCCCCACTCTTACACATTTTGACAATTACATTTTAATCACACTTACCAAAGCAAGTTAACTACTCAAAAATTTTTGAAGTCACTAATATTTTTGTTTCTAAATATAATATTAAATATAGTATACTAAACATAATGTACAAAAATATAAAACTTGAATATGTTTTGATTTTAGACTAAGTATTCTAAAATCAGGCTCTAATGGATACATATTTCAAAAACAGTTGTTCACAAGACTCAATTTGTAGTGTTTCTGAGAATTCCAAGCCCTTGGCGCCTCTGGAAAAATATTAGAAAAAATAAATATTAGAAAAAATAAATTATTTTTTCACATGGGAATCTACTGGAAACTGAAAAACAAACAAACAAATGAACAAAAAGTTGTTTGCAAAGATATGAAAAGACAGAGAACTAGCAATAACAGAGTGTCATGATTATTATACATTAACATCTTATTCCAATCCTATAAATTCCCCATCATGAATTTCAAAAGCATTTAACAATATAGACTGCTTATATAATAGTGTCATCATAGTGATATTATTTTCCTACCAAATAATCAGCTTGGTCTTCTTCTTCTTCTCTATCTTTTTCTTTTTTATTTCTTTTTTCCTGCTTGGACATTTATTTGTATTTTGGAAGACTATCATTTTGAAAGTGCAGCACACAAGTAAAGAGTGAAGCTTTTATTTATTTGGACAAACAAGCTTGGATTAACCCTAAATCAGAGCAATTCGCTAACAAGGTAAATGAATTTAACTTAATTTAATTAACCTGAGATAACCTTATCACTAACTTAAGATCTTCTTTTGTAAACAGGGACCTTCCTCCACTTGGCAATGAAAACATGTAGAGATAAAACACAGTTCCAAGACAGGGATTTTAACTGCATTTTAATGGGTTTAAATTCATTATCACTCAGCAACATGAGTAAGATTTTCACAGTCTGATCCAATACAAATAAAATTTAGTTGGGAACTAAATTATAAAAAAAAAAAAAAATCACAGACAATCCCATCAGCCATATGCACATTGATGGAAATAAAATGCTGGTAAATCTCTAGATTTTTTTTTTTTTTTTTTTTTTTGGCACATATGCAATGATTCACTAGATAGCAAAAGCCACTAGGTGGCATTTGTGATTTATTGGGTTAGAAGCAGTGGCTTAAAAAGATTTTGTCTAAGCCTTGATTTCAAGAGAACAGGTCATTTAACATTCCAAGATATTTAATTCAAGAAAAACACCCCGTAATTGGATAAATGCACAGAATTTTCACTTATGATATATCATTTGGAAATCCAGTTTCTGAAGTTTCCATTCAAATCCTAGTAATTCTCAGGCATGTGTTCCCTGACCCTAAAGCACCAGTTTACATAAGTAATTATTTGTCTACAATTAAGCTGTAAATAATGCAATCACTCCATTCTTGTCCTGTCACTCTAGTCCCAACCACAACAAAAAGGGCTAATCACATACTTATTCAAGTGTGTAATTATTCACAGTTAAACTTCTGTCACTTTCACCCTGTTTGGAAACAGTAGAACACAACCTGTAATTAGCAAACATTGCTGCAGGCACTTTCACTTGGAAATCCGCCATGGATTCAGCACCTATGTGAGCAAAGAACTAAACCCTTTGATCTAGGAGCCTGGCATAGATTCTTCCCCTTGGGCTATTCTATTATCAGCTCTCAATAAGTCAGACAGAACAATGAATTATTACTATATCAAATAAGCCTAATAAAAATCACTCATGTCCCCTTGTTAGAGACTTTTTATGCACTTCTATCATGCATATATGCATGTATATATATATCAGTGTATATACACATGACAATAAATATGTATTAATGTATCTCTGAATATCTATGACTCATGTATTTGTACGCCTCTTTTGGATTTTCATTGAAATGTCAGTAAAAATCTCGGTCTTCACAAATTAGGTGGATGAGTATAGGTCAGGAGATGTCATTTGTTTCAAATGATGTTGCCTTAGAATCTCAGACTGTGAAAAAGATTACTCTTGCTTGAAATGAAAGCTTTCAAAGCATTATATTCAACAAAACACAATCATACTAGCAGGTACAGAAACAAACAGTATGTAGGCTTGCCACTAAAAAGGCTAGTAATACAGTAAACATCTTTAAGACATTCCAGTTTGTAACACTGGTATTACATCTAAAATTATTGTCTCATAATAAATCGAGTACATTGCATATGTAACACCGAATCAGGCATACCCCCATTTCATAATGAGTCAGATTCTGTCACATGTCTTCAGTTTATGTTATTTCTTCCTGTATCCCTAAGGGTAGTAAAGAACTGCTCATACTGAACAAGAAGGCAGAATCTGTCCCAGGGAGAAGACTGGAAAATTAGAAAGAACTCATTTGCCACCTGCCCTAACATTAATTCTGGAAGCAGATAAACCAATCTTCGCCCCCCACCCCTCCCCCCCCACCCCCCCAAATTTTTCTCTCCACAGATCATTTAGAAGAAATGCTGAGTAAAAACAAGCACAGAAAGTAATTATCATAACACTTGTTTTCACTTTATCAAAGAAAGTGGACAAATAATTCCTTCCTCCTCTTATCTCTTGTTCTGTTTCTTGCTCCCTCATTGACATGACCATGTCTCATTTTTAACTGTTCTCATGATCTGAAGTTGTTTTACATAGTTGTTTTTCAGAGTTGGCTGACTAAAGTTTACGCAGATTGAAAATGAGTCTTCTTTGTTGGAAGACAGTCTTTGAAATTCTTCATTATATTATTCAACATATATGTTGGGCAGTATCAGAGGAGAAATAGCTGCCCATATGACATCCTGTATGTTTTGAATCCTGCAGGTAATTTTACTGCTGCATTTTAGGATGCAGAGAGAAGGGGATTAACTACATTTCAGTAGACTTTGAATGCAAGGAACAAGGACAGTCAGAAAAGCAAGCTACCAACCTACTTTTGTGACCAAGTCAGAATCATATACTATGAAAGCAGAATTGATGAAAGTTAGCTATTCCAACATACTGGCACTGGTCAATCTGGTGATCATCTGGTCAATCAAGAAAAAGGCTAAGGAAAAGGAATAGTCCTTAATGTTCTCTGGCAAACAGCTTTTAACTGGTGGGTTTCAATAAAGTGTCCGAGTATCTAATTGCCATGGAAACTGTAATACTGGATGGACTCTGTAGCACTTAGTTAGTTAGTTGCTGTTGAATTACAATGATATGAAATTGCTGTAGTCTCAAGATACTTATTGAAATAGCAGTAGCTGCCTCCCAGTATAATGATTCATTTGAACAGTCTATATCAGCCAGAACAAAATGCTCCGTAAATGTTTCCAAGATGACAGATATTCTGTTAGGGACCTATTATTTGCTGTCAATATGATGCAGGGAAAATGCAGACATGCTGGCCTTTGTTTACATTTTTAGATGCCTGCAAAGACCATGACTTTTTGCTGTTGATGATATACATATGTTGAACATTTGTTTAAACTGCCTTCCCACCACTGATAAACACAACCCTCCAGATTACATTATGCAGATGAGTTGCAAGGGAAATAGAATTTCACATTTTCCTACCTAGCAGTGCTTCCCACAGCTTTGTATTTATGACACTTAAAAAATATGTAATCCTTGGAGGAAAGTGAACGATTCATATAGTTATAACATATAATTCTTCCACAGCACCAGCAAATCTGTCAAACTGTCACTGCAAGCTGCCATCTGAGAAGCTGCCCTTCAGAGTCTTAATTTCCTTTTCCTTCCCCCGCACACCCTACTAAGATTATTTACAAGACTGGCAACCACATCTCAAATCACATCTTGTCAGATTACTCAAGATTTGTAAACTGCATGAGAAGAGTATGCTACAAGATATGCTGGTAAGGACTTGGCTATATCTGGCAATGAACCTACCCAGTTTTGAGGGTAATGTATGCTTCATCTATACCCATTGATTGGGCAATCAAGAATCTGCATACACAGTAAATTAAATTCCCAGGTAAATCAGCTGTTGATCCCATTATCTTTCTACGTTATATTACATATGTCCTCATGACACCAGAAAGAAAAGGAAATAAAGCACGTTAGGATTTTGGTTTTTATTATTCACTATCTTGTGTAGGAAACAGAAATATGCCTCAGCTGCATTAAGGTATCAACATTATAAAATATATACCATAAATATGCATTATATTAACTAGCTTTTTACTCTCCTTAGCCTTGTGTTTATGGAGAAAGAAGCAAAACCCTGTGTTCACATTCCATTAAGAAAGAGTATGTTTTCTTTTTGTTCACTGAGATGCAAGTTTTTGGAACCTTGAAGCTGAAGCTTGTTTACAAATCCACATAATTTTTCTGTCTTAAAGCATGTGAAATTGAAGTGATTACATCATTATGGCTGCAATCCATCACACTGGAAACTAAATCTAAGAAAACCAGAACTCTAGGTTACAAGAAAAATGCTGAATGGCTCAACAATGTAAATTTTCTGCTTCTTCCATATCCAGAGATTTGGAGTGCCTTGTTAGAAACTGTCAAGAATTACAGAACTTCCATATAAATCTAGAGGACTGTCACAATATTTGAGTTTTTTTTGAGCTATAAAGTTTCCAGAATATGGGTTTGTTCTTTACAGCTGAAGCTAAGAATAGTGGATATGGTTTTAGGATTAAGGAAATAAATTATGCAATGGTATTAAGCTGAAAATTTGGAAATCCCTATCACAATTGCGCTTGTTAAATAGTATTTCAAGGTGAAGTTGAAATGTTAACTCAAATTTACAACCTATAAGTTTTGTTGGTAAAGGGAGACACATACAATCTACATCCTGTCTATTCCTCTTCATTTCTTGAAAAGGTGAGACGCCTGACCATTAACTCAGTTGGAAATGGGTAAGGCAAGTGCACCCAATCTATACTTCTTTGTAATATAAGAAATTCCATAGCAAAATATTTTTTTTAATTTTTTTTTTTCCATCAGTTTTAGGAAATAGATTGGCTAATCCTGCATTATCCATGTGAGTCCTTACATTATCTATGTGAGTCCATTTCTACAAAATCAAGTTCACCCCGTAAATTAACGTAATCACAAAGATCTCAGCATTTGGTAACATCTGGATGCTTGGCCTTTGCCCAAGCATTGCATAAGGTTTCTGGAGTTGTGACTTGAAATTTTAGGAAGTTAGTTCATCTCTGACTAAGACACTGAATCCCAGGTAACACTAAACAGAACGACTACGTAAAAAATAAGATACTGTTGCAAGGATTTCAGAAACTGCTTCAGAATCTCAAAATTTAGTCAACTGAAGGTGATCTTTAGAAGACAAAAGCTGTTGGAGAACAACAAACACAAAACCAACCAACCAAACAGAAAACAACAATGACAAAACAGACAGAAGGAAGGAGAAGATGATTCTAAAGTGATTGGAAAGTCATAAAAAATATTCTCTGAAAAGCTGGATCACATTAAGCTTCAATAGAGTAAAATTGGTTCGATTGAACTCGTTTGCAAAACTCTAAACAACATGGATGGAGAGAGAAATGGAAGAGAATTTTATTGTAAGCCCAAAACCCAAGGAAAACGGCATTAAGTAAATTTATATAAACTAATAAATAGGCTTGATTTTACTCTGTCTTTTGATACCAGTGCTACTGTACTTGATATCATTATTCACACACATATATATGTATCTTGCATATATTACATATGTATATGTATATATTATATGTGTGGATATAATATGAGAAAGTTAAACTGTAGTTAAAAATACCACTAATAAATTAAGATCATATTACATAACAGTTGCTACATAATCTGGAAAAATGATAAATGACAAAATGATCAATTTTAAAAAAGGGTGTGTGGGGGGGAATTTGCTTGTCTTTTATGATGTTTCTCTTAAATTATTATTAATAGTCACTTCTGAAAAAAAAAAATAATATGTGTGAGAACAGAAAACAAATTCTGATGGGTATGTTTCCCATGGTACAAGACTACATGTATATATTTCCTATACCCTATTTATACGCAGTGAATGTGTCACCTCTTAAAGGTGAACAAATAAAGTACTCATCAGTTTGTTATCTTATTGTACAATTTATGACTGTCATGTAAGATTTCAGTTTTTTATTTTGATATTAAAAAAAAAAACAAAACAGTTATTCATTTAAATAGGCTCTCATGAAATGCAGAAGAAATTAAATGTTCTATCCACTTTCACACTAAAAGAATTAATTCTGATTAATGTTACTCAAATGAATACAAAAGGAATTAATCATCATTAGAAAGATACCAGAAATTGTTGCCCTGACTTTTTAAGCTTTAATGTATTGCTAGGTTGCTTGACATTAGATATGAGACCACAGCTAAACCCCTAGATGCAAGGATTTGGGGAATGTTGGGAGGAGCCTACATCTGAAACTAGACTGGGAATTTTGCTCCCATCTCTTTTTGAAAGTGATACTTATTATGCATGCTCTTCTGAGTTCTTAATTTGGTTTGTAATTGGTTTATGTTTTCTAGTAGCTTTTAGCCACTCCCTTGAGTCAGAAAGAAGCTATATATCTGCATAAGCTTGTTTGGATATATACAAGCTTGTATGAATAAAGCATTACAATTCAGAAGTTACACAGTGGGGAAAAGAAGAGGATAGTTAGGGGAGATATGGATACTGTGTTCTCCTTTGACTTAATCTTCCTTCCATAAGTAAAATAAAAAAACTGATCAGTAATGTTTCTGACAGGATTTCCATACTGTGCTCTATGTAAATTAACTATATTCTTAAATTCTTAGCCACAGTATTTTTGCTGGAAAAGGCATGTCATACTGAGGTTTGAGTGGATCCTTTAATAGACTATTTGGCTGCAGCTGTTATTCTGCCTGTCTCACAAAGATAATTTTTCCATCTAGTTCTTCATCTAATCTAAGTTTTTGGATTCCAAGCTCCAATAAGATAGTTAATGATATGACCCCAGATTGAGAGTTTAATTTGAGCTCTTCTTAATACTTCTGTTAATGAATTAAAATTCTATTGTGAATTAGAAATCTCTAATAGAATTGCAGAATTCTATTATCATGTAATGTAATTCTATTGTAATATAAAGTTGAACAAATGAGGTAAAATTGCCACTGAAGAATGACGAAAAGGGAGTAATTGAAAAGGATAGTTGCCATATGATCATAAAAAAATTTAGGAAAATTCTCTATCATTTTCAGTAAACTGTTCCAGCCTTTTGGGAAGCAAAATGAAGAGGAGAGCAGTAATACTAGCAAAACTGAAATAACTCTGTATGATCTGACCTGTGACACTATTTTGCATTTGTATAGTCAGAATAGTGACATCATACATATGCTTTCCACACGTAGCTTTAATAAGGACCTGCTAGGCCTTGCTTACCACAAAATAGTAAGTGAGTACCG